TCAGGCCCACAGTGGTATACTGGAGCTCCCAGACTCGGTATGCATTTGGGCTTGCATGCACCACTTGTGATCACGTGCACACCAGCCTTTCATGCCATGTGCCATGGGCCCTATTCTCAGGAAGAGAGGAAGGCCTGCTGTCCTTGGAGGAGATACCCTTACTGCAAAACAAACTCCCTGTCAGGAGGCACTCCTCTTTCACCCTCTGGTCAGGTGTCTGGGACTGAAGTGGGCATTGTCAGTGGCTAAAGGAAGATCAGAGGGTGGAAGATGGCCCGAACCTTGCCAGGAGCCCCTCCCAGATGTCAGTGCACCACCAGCTCCCCTCAGAAAAGGTGTCAGATGACCCCTAATCCAGTCTTAGCCGGGCTGTAGTGAGTCCTTGCCTGGGGCCACGTCAGAGGGCACCTCTGTTCTTCAGCTTTCTGCACAGGGCCGAACGGGTTTGGAGCGGTCACCGCGGCCACCACCTCCAGGCAGTCCTCCTTGGTACCCAATCTGCTCCGCCCCCAGACTTTGGGGGGAAATGGGGTCTCGGGGGTCAAGGGTCATTAGGGCGGGCTGGGTCCCGGAAGCGGAAGCGCAGTCCACTTCCGGCGCGCAGCGGGCGGCCATGTTGGAGCAGCGGAGGCGGCGCAGAGGCGCGTCTTGGGTCCCCGCGGCGGCGCCGGTAGGTTGGAGCCGCGGGCCTAGCCGCGCCGCGGAGGGGTAGCCCGCGAGGCGGCAGGGCGGACGGGCAAGCGGCCGACTCTTCCCGGACCCGCGTCCTCCGCCGGCCTGGCCGAGACCCCCACCCCACCCCCACCCCGCGCCCAGCGACCCCACCCTGGGGCTGCGCGGTCCCGGTCGGGCTAGCATCGTTCACCCTGTACATTTCGCTGCCTCAGTGACCCCCGCCTCACGGCTTGGGCCCTAAGGACGCGCACTCCCAGCCTGAGGGCCCCGATCTGCCCCCTCCCCCGTTCCGCCTGTATGGCGCCTCTCTCACTCTCTCACCCCCTATCTTCCGTCAGCTTCTCCTGCCTCCCCCGGGGGCACGTGTGAAGGGAAGTCGGGAGCCGGGCAGCAGCCTGTTTCCGAAGCTTCTCGAAAGCCCAGAAAACCCCTCCCAAGAGCCCAGCCTAACCTGCGTGGAAGATCCCCCAGGTCACCCCAGATATTTGCGTCGGGGAGCGTGTGAGGATGGGAAATAGGTCCCTCTCTCTTCTACAGTTCACAGCTCTGGGAACTACATCCCCTCAAAAAATATTAATAAAGAACTAAAGTCATGTGCAAGGATTGTGCTTGGAGAACGGTCTCTGGGGTGGGGAAGTGCCCAAGACACCTGAGGATCCAAGAATGTTTCCAAACAAAGAGCCCCAGGGCATTTCCTCCAGGGTATTCTGAAGACTTCATCTGCTGCCTTAGAGCGGTGGGAAGAAACTACACAGAAGGGCCTCTTGGCCCGAGGGACCTGCCTGATCCTGGCTGATCTTTTAATGCTCTGGTGCAGCTGGGGAGCTGCCTCCTGCTTCTGGGAGCCCTCAGTGTTAGGTTGGGTATTAGATGTTATAATTGATGGCCACAGCTTCTTAAAGAAGTCTGGAACTAGTTGGATGTTCTCAGTCACCTCCATCTGGGCTGTACTGAGGTCTGTGGCCCTCCAAGTCTTAGGTAGGACAGTTCATACCGCGAATGTCCCCTTGACTCACCATCCTACTTGCAGCCTTTGGCTCCCATTGTCCTTAAACCTTGGGTTCTTGGTCTGGCTGCCTGGTCCCCGGTCTGTCTGGTTGCCTAGGGAGCTGTCATTGGCACCTGCTACTCGTTAGCTTTCTAGTTTCTGTTGAAGAAAAATCCGACTCTTTCCCTGGATTTGGTCTCCATGCCTCTGGAACTAGAAAATGGGTTGCTGAGTACCCTGTCTGGAGACTGAAAACAGAACTTCTGGTGGGCAGGGAGATTCCCCCACCCCAGTCCAGCTCCACACATGAACAGCAGCAGCTGGAGAAACAGATGGGCATGGGCAGTGGGTGTAAGTCTGGGCCCTTTGGCTAACATTCAAGGTTCTTTGTTGTTCTATCCTCGCCTGTTTTTTCACCTAGATCCCAGATCCCACACCAAGTATGCCTTAACTCTTTCTCACTTTGGAGCCATTGCTTTAGCTATTCCCGTTTTTGCTCCATTTCCATCTGATCCTTTTTTATTCATCATATCCTAGCTAGGTGTTAACTCACTCAGGAATCCTTTCCTGACCCATTGGCAAACTGAGCTGAGTGCCAGCATTCACTCCCAAGAATCTTAATGGTGTATTTTTCTTGCCTTCTAGCCTGGGTTCCTTGAGGACAGGGATATTGCCTGTATTCCCAGAGCTGAGTAATTCTAGGTTTCTGGCCTCGGAAAATACAGAGTTGAATTAAAATGTACCAGGCTCAAATCTTTTCAGGGACCCGGCAGCAGGTTGGATGGCTCTGAGGAGTTTCTGAGTGTGTATCTTGAAGAAGCTCCCTGACCCTTACCCTCTCCTCCCACCCCAGCATGGTAGAGGGTCAGGAAACCAGTGTTTTACACCAGATAGTGTCTCACTCTGGCCAGATTCCTCAGTGTCATGGAGATTGGGGCACTGATTGACCTGTCTATGTGTTCTGGCCCCTTGTCTTAGTGCCATTCTTATTGACTCTTTTCCTCTTGTCTTGGAGGTGCCAAGCGCTGGTTTGTGGATACCCAGGCAGATCTGCAGTGCCTAATGCCATGAGTGTGGTGGTTCAGCATGTGGAGGAAAAAGCTGTGCACTCCTGGTCGCGCATCTCCACGGCTGGGAAGAAGGCCCTGGAAGAGGCGCTGCTTGTCTTTAACCCCATGAGCCAGGATCTCAGTGCCACAGAGGCCCAGCTTGTGGCCTTCCTGCAGGGCCTGCGAGATGATGGCTTCCAACCTACCATCCTGCGCAGTGGTGATGTCTATGGCTATAGTTCATGCACAGCTAATCCCCCAAGCCAGACGAAACTGCAAGCTCGTGCCCCTAACCCAACTGCCACATCACCTCCAACCAGTGCTCCCCGAACTGCCATGCGGTTGCCCGCAGGTCGGGCCACACTGCTTCCCATGCCACTATCTGGTAGGCTGGCTAAAGCGTCCACACCAGCCCTTGCCAAGCATGCTACCACCAACCTGCTGCTGAGCTCTCTGAAGCAATCAAGTGCCAGCCATGCCCGGGGCGCAGCAGTGGGCTTCCCCACCCACCTTTATCCAGGTGTCTACCCTGCCATGCGGCTCTCTGTTGTCCTTGAGGCCCTGGTTCCACTCAAGACTACAATGCCCTGCTTGGGTGCCAAGCACAAGGCACAGTCACTACATCTCTCACTTGCAGACTCTCCTCTGAAACTGCGGAAAAGTTCAGGGAAGGGTCCAGGGAACCCCCGGCCCAAAGCTCCCAGAAAAACCACAAGCAAGGGCTCCAAGTGTCTGACTCGCAAAGGCCCTGGGGCTGGACCCCGACGAGGCTCTGGGCACCAGAGCAAAACCAACAGAGCCACTGGGTCCCCCAGTGTCCGGCGAATGAAAGGGGGCTCTGCCCTGGGCACCAAAGCAGCCCAGGCCAAGGTAGCTCGAACACTGGCCAAAGCTGCTCGTTCCCAAGCCAGGGTGGCTCGAACACAGGCGAAGGCTGCTAAGGCCCGGGCCAAGGCCAAGGCAGCCCGGGCCAAGGCCAAGGCAGCCCGGGTCAAGGCCAAGGCCAAAGCCAAGGCAGCACGGGTCAAAGCCAAGGCCAAAGTCATGGCAGCACGGGCCAAGGCCAAGACTAAAGCCAAGGCAGTACGGGCCAAGGCCAAGGTGGCTCGGACCCAGCCCAGGGGCAGGGGCAGGCCAAAGGGGTCTGCTAAGACCAGAACTACAAGGAAGGGCCAGAAATACCGCCCTGAGACTGTTGGGCAGAAGAGGAAAAGGGCTGAGGAGGCAAAAGATCTTCCTCCCAAGAAGAGAACACGGCTTGGGCCCCGATCTCCTAAGGCATGGCTAGGGCCTGGAACAGCAAAGCTGCTCAAGTTCCGTGCCATAAAGGTAGATAGGCGGTCCTCCGATGATGAGGTGCGGCAGCGGGCTCAGCGGATTCTCCGCGTGAACCTGTCACCTGAGATACGGCTCCAGCCATTGCTGCCACATTCAGCAGTCTGATTCCTTCACACGGCAATGTTTGGGGAAACTGAGCCCAGCTGTCTGTGTGGCCAGTGGTACAGTGTGCTATGCCCATGGACTCCACAATCTTGAGGACTCCGGGTACCTCTCTAGGGCCCTTGTGACCACCAGCCTCCTTTCAGAAACTGGAGGGGGTGGGTTAGGGTGGGGTGGGTGGGTGGGAGGGGTGTTTTCATGGCGCGATGCACTGTGACTTGTTATTCAAGTTGTATGTCTACTGTTCCATCTATCACGTTTTATACCTTTCCACCTTCCAGTCTCCCTGCCCACCCTCCATGGTCTTTTTTGTATGTGTGGCTGCTGGCAGGCCAGCTTGAAGGTATAGGGAAAAAGGTCCCAGAAATAGGTATGCCTATTTCTGGGGGTTGTGGGAGGAGGCAGCTCCTGGGCCCCTTTGGAGACATGAGGGGAAATTGGCTTCTGTGGGTGTCTGAGAGGCATCCCATGAAGACAGGAGCAGAGCCACTATGAAATAAGACACTTCCCTTTGAGGCTGCTCTGGTTTGTGATCCAGACAGGCCCTGTGTAGGACAGTAGGTTCCATGGGGAACCTTGCAGCTAGTGGGTTTTTAGGTCCTGGAATGGAGCCTTTGTGGTACTTCTCCCTAGGGACCAAACAGACAGCCTGGCTAAAATCTTGGGGCTTAGCCTGGGCTTTTCTGGTTTGGGACCAGGCCCAAAGGGGTTGAGGTGCTTCTCCCTCTCTGGTCTCCTGGGAGAGGGTAACTATCCTGAACTTTGATTGGTGGCAAGGTACTGGTGGTTGAATCAGGACCACAGAGGTTGCCCTCAATGACCAAATAATTTTCTCCTTGGTTGGGTGAGGTTTTCCATGACTGCCTCATCAGCAGTGCTTTCTGTCTGGATTTGAAGAGCTTTCTCTATTCCTAGGTCCAGCCTCATCATGCCCTCCAACATGGTCCATATGTTAAAATACATTGTCACCCTTCCTGCTTTTTAGAGAGGGGGCTGGGTCCTGGGACCTGAAGGAGGTAACTGTCCTGCCCATCTGTAGTCCATCGCTGGCTGCCCAGGCTGAATGGCAGTGCCTGGAGTGGGCAGGGAGGGGTACACATTTCCCCTCCCTGGGTTAGGGACATCATTTGAGTGAGAATCAGATGGTTTCTGTTTCTGGGTTTGGGCCCCACAACCTGCCAGCTGCCCTGGGTGATGGACCTATGGAGGAGCTCTGTGCTTCTTGGTGCCCTCCTGCCCCTTCTGCGTCTTGTGGCATGCTTCCCCTGGGTGTGTCCTCCCTTGGTTTTCCAAGCTCTGGGACCTTGCTCCCAGCTGTGCTATTGCCCCACTACCCTGCGTGCTACTTGCCTCTGACAACTCTTTTCATTCATGATGTGAATATGGGGAATGACCTGAGAGCCACACTCAGCTCCTCAAGGGCAGCCTAGCTTGGGGCTCACGCGTGTAATCCCAGCACTTTGGGAGGCCAAGGCAGGTGGGTCAGTTGAGGTTAGGAGTTTGAGACCAGCCTGGCCAACATGGTGAAACCCCGTCTCTACTAAAAATACAAAAATTAGCTGGGCGTGGTGGTGCACGCCTATAGTCCCAGCTACTTGGGAGGCTGAGGCTACAAGGTCACTTGAACCTGGAAAGTGGAGTTTGCAATGAGCTGAGATCTCGCCGCTGCACTCCAGGCTGGGCGACAGAGTGAGACTGTCTCAAAAAAAAAAAAAAAAGAAAAGAAATCAAGGTTCCCTGTGGGGTGGGGTGGAGGGGGGTGGGTATTCCTGGGATCTCTGGTCAGACCCTGCCCCTCCTAGTCCAGGCTCCTAGAGCAGTTTCCTATGGAGTGCCAGATATCCTTTCCCGACCTGGCTGCATCAGCATCCTGGTTGTTGACTGGGGCCAGAGCCAGAGTCTTTGAACTTCATCCAGTAGGCCCTGAGCCCTACTTCATTGGCAGTCACCTGCAGGTGAGGGCTCTGGAGACTGATTTCTTTGGGTGTCCTGGGCTGGTTCAGCCCTGTTGGGGGTCTGGGTCATTGCTGGGAGCTGTGAAATTTTAGAGTAGAGGTCTGATCATTAAGCTGTCTAGTCAGTTTCCTTGAGTCCTAACCCAGGACTCAGAATTACCTCTGTGACTCTTGCGACCAGGGAGGCCATGACATTAAGAACGTAATCTCCCGTAGTGGCCATGGTGGCAACAAGACCTGGCAGGCAGAGAGTAGTGACAGTGCAGTGTGCCCATGTGTGGAGGTGTGGGGATCAGGGCCTGGTCACTAGCCCTATGGCTGCAGGTGTCGAAAATGTCACCATCAGCTGGACGCAGTGGCTCATGCCTTTAATCCCAGCACTTTGGGAGGCCAAGGCGGGTGGATCACGAGGTCAGGAGATCAAGACCATCCTAGCTAACAGGGTGAAACCCCGTCTGTACTAAAAATACAAAAAATCAGCTGGGCGTGGTGGCAGGTGCCTGTAGTCCCAGCTACTCAGGTGGCTGAGGCAGGAGAATGGCATGAACCCGGGAAGCGGAGGTTGCAGTGAGCCGAGATCATTCCTCTGCACTCCAGCCTGGGCAACAGAGCAAGACTCCATCTCAAAAAAAACAAAAAAAGTCACCATCAAGGCCGGGAGCAGTGGCTCACGCTTGTAATCCCAGCACTTCAGGAGGCCAAGGTGGGCGGATGACGAGGTCAGGAGATCGAGACTATCCTGGCTAATACGGTGAAACCTGGTCTCTACTAAAAATACAAAAAATTAGCCAGGTGTGGCAGCGTGCACCTGTAGTCCCAGCTACTCAGGAGGCTGAGGCAGGAGGATGGCGTGAACCTGGGAGGCAGAGCTTGCAGTGAGCCGAGATCAAACCACTGCATTCCAGCGTGGGCGACAGAGTGAGACTCTGTCTGAAAAAAAAAATTACAAAAAATTATCAGGCATGCTGGCACACACCTGTAGTCCCAGCTACTCAGAAGGCTGAGGCAGGAGAATCTCTTGAATCTGGGAGGTGGAGGTTCCAGTGAACCAAGATCGCACCACTGCACTCCAGCCTGGGTAACAGAGCAAGACTCTATCTCAAAAAAAGAAAGAAAACGGCCAGGCGCAGTGGCTCAAGCCTGTAATCCCAGCACTTTGGGAGGCCGAGACGGGTGGATCATGAGGTCAGGAGATCGAGACCATCCTGGCTAACACGGTGAAGCCCCGTCTCTACTAAAAATACAAAAAACTACCTGTAGTCCCAGCTACTCAGGTGGCTGAGGCAGGAGAATGGCATGAACCCGGGAGGCGGAGCTTGCAGTGAGCTGAGATCCGGCCACTGTACTCCAGCCTGGGCGGCAGAGCGAGACTCCGTCTCAAAAAAAAAAAAAAAGAAAGAAAGAAAACGTCACCATCCAGCTGGACCTAGAGGGTGCCTTCTACTTCACCCACCTCAAGACTTTCCCAGTGACCCAGTGCCCCATCCTGAAGGCTTGCTTAGCAAGTGCTGACCCTGTGCTTCCCTACTTGATGGCCACCAGTG